ATACATGAAGATATCCAAGATAAACTTTTGCAAATCAGCAACTTTCAGTGAGCTAGCGTTTCCCTAACCACCTATTCGATGACTGATCTATACAATTATACTACTACCCTGAACACATATCAACACCAGTCACTTCATCAGTTTCACCACATCAAGAAGGCTAGTTTCCAACATAAATAAGTCATATTTTCCAGCTGAAGATAATCTCTGTAACAAGACTTCACTGGCTTATTTGCCATTTCACACATCAAGGATATTCCGAGGCTTACAATACAGAGCTGAACACGTGGTCCTCCATTCACGAAACTGTCATCCCTATTCTTGATAGTCTGATTCTTTGCAGTGTTTCAAGGAGTGAGTGAGTTGGGTTTAACACCGCTTTTAACAGTATTCCAGTTATATCACGGCGTGTCAGCTTCATGTGGGAGGAAAGCCCCAAGTGATGCAGGTCTCAGACGTTTACCACTTCGCTGAAACCCACGAGCACGGGTATGGTACTGACAAACCTAGAAACATAATTGGGGAGAACCAGGATTCGAACCCACAATCAACTCTGCACAGAAATCGCGGCACCTTAGACGACTGGGCCACCCGTGCCCCCTTGTGTTTCAAGGAGCTCTTCATAAAAACAAGAACAAATCATTTTGAAATAATCATTATTGTTTATTTATCAAGATGCTTACTATATACTACTAAAAAGAAGTGAAAGAACACTCATATTTTTTTATATGACATTAGTTAATCTGTCATGGCGCACATGAAAACATTTGGGTGTTCTTTAACTTGCATCGAGCAGTATATGTAAATCCCCCATCTAAACATCCTTTCCTGCCAATTCTTATTATGACTTACCGTAGTCTACGTAATAAGCGCCCAGGGCGCTGTCAAAATTAGAAACAGGAGGCTCTTATAAGAATATTATTTTGGTGAAGATAAATTTCGTGGTTTATGCCGACAGCCTGAAATGTTTATGTACGACAGATATATTTTTCCAGAATTTAACTGCTCATAATTAAGGGTGCATATAACACACAAGTGTGTATTATACGCGAATAAGTAAGTCTTGTGTACATTGATCAATCAAAAGGGGTGCTAATTGGGATTGTTCGCTAGCCAATATATTAGCAAATGTTACCATGGGCGCTTATTAGAGCGGGGCACTTATTATGTTGACTACGCTATTTCCATTCATATACTTCCATGTAACAACTTTAACAATACAACCAATTATTTACCTGTCTCAAATGACAAATAAGAATGTTTCTTTAAATGTTTTTGAGAAAGTTGGTCAAAACACATGAAACACGCATACCAAGTGTAACCCAGTAAATGTGGACAGTGACATTCAAAGCAACACTGGCCGGATTAACAACTTTCATGATTAACAAATATCCAGACAAACAATTACATCCATTTAATACTTTCTCTCCAAACAGCTTGATTTCCCCATAGTAACTGTCTGGAAGATGTTTCAGAATTCACAAGGTTTCACTGTTTCAAAACATGAAAACACTTTCTTACTTTGTTGATGCTAAAGCTGATCACTGACCAGAGTTATTTTGACTGGATTTTAAAATGCCACGACAAATAATGAAGCCAGTGTTTACATAAAATGAAAGAAACAATTATATTTTATCATTGTGCTTTCCTGGCCTGGACTGAGAAATACGCAGATGAAATGGATAGCATAGACACAATGAAAACTAAGCTCCTGACATAGCTGCCAACAAACTGACTTTCAAAGAGATTTCTTTGCTCAAGTCTTTGAAATGGCAGTGTGTGACATTTGTGGTAGACAAATCAACAGCCACAGTCTTCAGAAATTTGAGTTGATCTGTGATAAATTGAACGGGACAGACTAATTTTTGTGTTTTCCTGTTAAACTGACCATACTGAATAATTGTCCCCAGGAAAAATAATACAAGGACTTTTATAGATTTATATTACCTGTAGCCTACATTAAGTCAAACTAGTGAGTGCATCTTATTTTAAGGCTTCTATGATTTATACCATGGCATATGTCAGGTAGGGCTGGGACGAGTCCAAATTTACTACCCGGGTACCCACACCCCTATTACCCAACCCTACCCGGGTACCCGCTGTTGGTGTCAAGAGATAGGTACAAAATGTCTGATTGGGAAAAGTTTGACAGTAGCCCTGGAAGACTGTATTTAGATACACATATAAAACGATGTGGTCATGCATACACTGAAGTTGACTGAAGTTTTAGCTTTGTTCAAACATATTTAAGTCAGAAGGAACGAGTTCATAGAAATGCGAACATTAGAGACTTAAAATTGTCATGTTACCATGAAGATATACAGTGAATTATTGTCATGAAACAATATATCACGTGACTAACCACGGGGGACCGGGTAGTCCGGCAGATCAGGTCTTGCACTGCCATAGATAAACAGTCCTTGGCACTCATCTGTTAAAGTCACACTCTGAACTCAGATTGGCTGCAGGTACAAAGCACCGACATCTCAAACACATTCACTGAAGAGATTTGTTTGTTTATTGTTTTACGCTGCACTCAGCAATATTCCAGCTATATGACCGCGGTCTCCTAATAATCGAGTCTGGACCAGACAATCCAGTTATTGACATCATGAGCATCGATCCACGCAATTGGGATACGATGACATTCATCAACCAAGTCAGCGAGTCTGACCATCCAATCCCATTAGTCAGCTCTTACGACAAGCATAGTCGCCTTTTACGACAAGCATAGGTTGCTGAAGACCTATTCTACCCCGGATCTTCACAGGTCTCACTAAAGAGAAACTATATAGTCACAAGAACACATTCATGTTTCTCAGATCTTCATACATCTAAAGGACAAAAAAAAGATTTAGCTTCTTGCGATATATGAACAGGAAGTACAACAGCAGATTTTTTAAGAAATGAAGAAACTGTCTTCTCAATTAAATCCCCACATTGCAAACAACCTCTAACACTGTCTGGTTTTCAGTGTTAAATATGTCTTTCTTGATAAAAGGCGGTTGTATAGAATATCACATTCAGAAAAAAACTTGTGGAACTGATTAGGTACATGTGTGCAGGTGTTCCATTATTGGCCCAGTATTTCCAGGAATGAGAGAAACTCTACCAGGAGATACAGGCTTCCTGAATTTCTGCTTCACCTATGATCCAAAGGTAACCAGCAATGTCTACATCTCATCTGAACGGACACTTCATCCAGAGATAACATGGTTTATCAGTTAATCATTCTACAGAAATGTAATGTCCATTTGAGTGTTAGAAGCATGTACATAAAGGGTTTTTTGGTTTTTTTTGTGTTAAATGCAACACTCAGTAATATTCCTTAATATGATGACACCCTGTACATGATCAAGCCTGGACCAGACAAACCAGTGATTGATATTATTTGTAACATCCCACACCAGGTGGGTACGATGACACATAACTTAACCAAGTCACAAATTCAGAATTTTCATAAATTCGCCTCATACACAAGCACTGGTTGCCAGGGTGAGTGAGTGAGTGAGTGAGTGCTGAGTGAGTGCTGAGTGAGTGAGTGCTGAGTGAGTGAGTGAGTGAGAGTGAGTGAGTGCTGAGTGTGTGAGTGCTGTGTGAGTGCATGAGTGAGTGAGTCCTAAGTGAGTGAGTGAGTCCTAAGTGAGTGCTGTGTGAGTGCATGAGTGAGTGAGTCCTAAATGAGTGAGTGCGTCCTAAGTGAGTGAGTGAGTGAGTGCTGAGTGAGTGCATGAGTGAGTGAGTCCTAAATGAGTGAGTCCTAAATGAGTGAGTGCGTCCTAAGTGAGTGCATCCTAGGTGAGTGAGTGAGTGAGTGAGTGAGTGAGTGAGTGAGTGAGTCCTAAGTGAGTGCATCCTAGGTGAGTGAGTGAGTGAGTGCATGAGTGAGTCCTAAGTGAGTGAGTGAGTGAGTGAGTGATGCTGCCTTTCAGCAATATTCCAGCAACATCACAGAAATGGACACAACAGATGGGCTTTATATTACCCACAGTACTTGTTTCTTAGAAAATGAAGAAAAAACAGATTCCCGACTACAAGCGGAGGCATAAGCTAAGTTCCTCCACTGTGGAATGGCGTCACATAAAGTGACATCACAAAACTTTTGGCACCTTAACAAACAATGAAAAGAATGAAACAATTGGCATGAATTAGCCAACAAGTACAGCAGACATTACTCAAATGCTCATTGAGATCAACTGACTACACTATCACTGATAGCCTCCACTATGGTAATATGCCAATATTTGTCTTCCCTTCCCAACCAGATCAAACAGTCGTACGCTATCACACGCCATGTTTTCAGAACCGACATCCTGACATGTGCTATGATTTACATTTCTGAGCAATCTCTATTTAACACTTCTATTCAACAGTTCTAGCTGTAGGCAACATGGCAATGTTGTGAAAACAATTTACTCAAACATACACACAACAAGTGCTGTAATACTTCATATTCCACAAACAACATGACAGACATATTAACAAGGTGCTACTGGAACATAAACATCCCCATCACCACCTGCTGAAGTTTACTTACCGCCACACAAATATATCAGTAAGGTTGTAAACAGCAAAGGAAGAAAGTTCTCTACTATCCTTTATTAGGCTTAGATAGAGCAATAAAACACCGAAAAAACATGCACACATTTTCATATGTATACAAATTAGCAGACTGGATAAGTGTAACAATTTTTTCACACTACTAAATCAAGGAGTATGAGTGTTTGTTTATTTGTTTATTTGTTTTTTAGCCCACAGTCCGTTATTCCAGCCATATGACGGCAGCTGTTACGTCTTAAGCCTCCTTGCATAATTTGTCATATCACAGCATGTCAGCTTAATGTGAGAGAAAATTTTGGTGAAGCCCTCAAGCATTGGTATGGTGATAACAAACCAGGGATCATTATTAGGTTGATTCAACCAATGATCATATTATCCTGGTGCACCCAGGGGACGCAACTCTGCACTGATTAGACCTTGAAAATGTAACGTGACCTCACCTGTAACCGTTCCTCCTGTGCTCCGATCTCCTCGAAACCCCGCCCTTCATCCAGCGGGGGTAAGCTCAGCTGCTTCTTAATCTCTGAAATTCTCATGAGCGTTCTTCGGACATCCTGCACGTACTGTGTCGGCGAGCGAACATTGGAAGTAGTGCGTGTCACACTAGTAGACACAACGTTAAACGACGTCCGTGTGATTTGACTGTCCCCGTTTGTGAGATCACCATTTGTAATGCTGGGTGGCCGTGGCTGTGCAATCTGCTGACTGATGTCCTGCCACCGTTGGTTCAGCTTGTGCATCTCTGGGGCAACGATGGCCTTGGCGCCACTGGACTCCAGTTCCCCTGCACGTTGTCGCAGGAAGTCCAGCTCTTTCTGGCGCCGTCGCATCTCATCTTCAAAAGCCTGTTGGAACAAAATATTAGATTTAAAAACTAGTGTACTGAAAATACTTCATCTGGGAACATCTGTCCTATTAGTGCCATGTTCAAGCCAAACAAATAAAACTAGGAGACAACAACCAAACTATGTAATGTGAATACACCTCAAACAGGAATAGCCACTCACGATGTGTTGCAGTCTGATTGGTTGGTTGGTTTGTTGATGAACGCCGCACTCACCAATATTCCAGCTATATGACGGCGGTCTGTAAATAATCGAGTCTGGACCAGACAATCCAGTGATTAATATCATGAGCATCGATCCACGCAATTGGGATCGATGACATGCATCAACCAAGTCAGCAAGCCTGACCACCCGATCCTGTTAGTCGCCTCTTACGACAAGCATAGTCGCCTTTTACAGCAAGCATGGGTTGCTGAAGACCTATTCTACCCCTGAATCTTCACGGGTCGTTGCAGTCTGAGTGCCGGGGTCTTAATCACAACAATGAAAATGTAATGGGGATTTATTCAATAGTTTGGTTGCTCTCTACTGGTTTTATTTGGTAGGTCTGGTGTTTATATCTTGACAATACATAGTAAGACTAATCTGGCCACAATGAAACACTATTAAAAGATGTAACACTGTGACACTGAGAAGGCAACATATATGCAGGTACCATCATTTCTCTACAACGAGTTGGCCAATTTTTAGGATCGGAAGGTAGCCTAGTGGTTAAAGTATTCGCTTATCACATCGAAGGCCTGGGTTCGATTCCCGACATGGGTACAATGGGTGAAGCCCATTTTTGGTATCTCACCTCACGATATTAGTGGAAGATTGCTAAAAGTGACATAAAACCATTTTCACTCACATGCTCACTCTTTTTGTGAAACCAATGAGGACTCGTATGGTTTTGACAAATCTAAAAACATAATCATGGTGTATCTGGGATTTGAACCTGCCCAAGAGATAAAAATCTGCTCAGTGAACTGTGGCACCTTTGATGAAAAACCAGCCAAATGTGCTTCAAACTACAAAGAGCAAGATAACAGAGGGTTTGCCACAGCTTCACAACATAAAACAATAGATCTGAAAACTGAATCTCTGCCAAAGTCGGTGAAGAATAATACATATCTCCCTGTCTTTTGTAACTGATGGGCTATTCCCACAGATTGACAGAGTTATCCCCCCTGAATACTACATGTATATTGCCTCGTCAAGGTAAAGGGGCTCTTGGTGAAGTCCTACACAAATATCTCCCTGTCTATTATAACTGATGGGTACTGTCAAGTTCATTTCCACTGATTGACGGAGTTGTTCCCCCTGTGTGATATACGTGGATATACTGCCTGGTTCAGATGGATGGGCTCTGGTTCAAGTCCTACACACATATCTCATGTCTGTTACAGCTAATGGGCATTGTCAAGGTAACTTCCACTGATTGACGGAGTTGTTCCCCCTGTGTGATATACGCAGATGGTGGCCCAGTTTGGATGCAGGGCTCAGGGGTGAAGATTAAGGCTACAGGAGGCACTGAGCATATCAGGAGTTACATGTGCATGACAAATTGCCTGTCAGGTGGACGGAGGAGAAGAACATTAAGCTTTTTTTATAGTCTCCACACACACCTAAGGGGTGATGGCCCATCCGATACTAGCTGTAAACTGTTCTGTATCATTCAAATGAGTTGTGGTATTGAGTTCCTTTCCATAAGCATTTGCAGACATGTTTACCACAGTGCGACTGGGTGTAAATAATTCACACTTTTAAATAACACTTCAAACACGGAAATGTAAGGCCAAAGAAAAATACACAGGAGGTGCTGTTTAGAGAATTATACAATTGCAAGCACTTAACATACATTAACCAACAGTTACACAGTGATCAGACATGCATACCAATAACAAATAGTCTTTCTAGTGTTGACATAAACCCAGAAACCCAGTAAAAAGCCTGCCACACTTTCAGAAAAGAATTATGACATTTCGGTAAGTATAATCCATTATATTTCTGTCAGAGGTCTGTATAAACATGCAATTACTGTAGTTTTGTCCTCAATTACAAAGCCACACTGTGCTGGCATTTCTACAGAAACCTCCTCTGGGAGTTATCCCCCTTGCTTTGACCCTTGATGACCTTCTAAGTGTCTGATTAATAAACACCCAATTATATGTGCTCTCTCCTCTGAGGTTCGCAGACAAGACTGGTGTGAGTCAGCTGTTGGGGAAAAGCTATCTGGGCAGCCGCCTGGGGGCCACATCAGGTTGATGGTTTCCGCACAGTTGTACCTTCTGGGACTATCAGCAGATTTACTGTCTGACAATTACCTAAATATACCCTTATCAACAGTAATAATGTGTCATTCAAAGTCTATCTTATCTAGGAATGTTACTGAATGCAAATATTTCCAATTCTGAAACTATTTTTGGTGGATGCCATATTTCTCACATTGATAGAACGCATATACAATTATTGAAAGTTTACACAAAGGAAATCATTCTATACTTGCAGTTCTGAATGCATATCTGTATTTGGTGTTTTTGTCCCGCTTGTATTATGTCTACATTTTGAGGACAAGTTGCCTGTGAGGATCCAGGTAAGAACACAGGGCCCCAGCATGTGGCAAGAGGCGACTAAACTGATCGGGTGGTCACACACACTGACTTGTGCATGGCCCAAAGTGAAGAAAATCTTTCAATAACCCGACAACTAAGCATAAGAAGAACAAGCTACCAAACCCATTTGCAAGTGAATGAGTGAGTATGGTTTTATGCCGCTTTTAGCAATATTCCAGCAATATCACAGCAGGGGACACCAGAAATGGGCTTCACACATTCTACCCATGTCAGGAATCAAACCCGGGTCTTCGGCGTGACGAGCGAACGCTTTAACCACTAGGCTACCCGACCGCCCCAAACCCACTTGCAACATTTAGAGACTGGGGCAAATTGACAGTCCTCTCACATATTTGACCACAGTCATTCAAAAACTACCGTGTATGTTTGTTCATTCAAATTTTCTAATGCACAGAACCATAATAGTTAATGATCAGCATTACAAAGAGGCAAATCTCAGTCAGGGCACTGACTGCCATGTCTCAGCCTACACTGGGCACTAGACCTTGGGGGTATTGTACTTCTTTAAGTGTTCATGTTCAACTACTGGGATGTGACCAATAAACCTGCAGTCACAAATCATAATACTCCTCAATCTCTTGAATATTTCTCATACGGATCTTTGGGCTTTTTAACTTCAGGTCGGTTGGTCGAAAAAACATAAAAATATAAATTCCAATCTCAAATGGTTTTTTTGATTTCCTCAAAATGTTGAGTAGGTAGGCAGCCCTGTGTGGATATTGTGAGGCGAGTTTAGAGTTACCTCCCTTCCGTAAAATCATGTCTGTTGCAATATGTCATAATCTGTTGTGTTTTCAAGTTATAAAGATTAAGTTTTCAACAGGTTTTAATAACAGTATTCTAAATAATTTATTTACATTGATAGCAACTGAAAACAATTTTATTTAACATTTTACTTATGTTTGGTTGCCAGAATTAAAAAAACCTTGCTTTGATTTGATTTCTTTTTACAAATTTCAAGTTTTTGTAGCCAGCCAAATCTGAAAAAAACTTCTGCCCTTACCTTCACAGGCAAGACTTAGACCAGGAGTTTGAATGCAGATCTCCAACATGGCAGAAATGTGATTGATACAACCATTTTTCTCTGCCACTTGAGAACAAAGCCAACTTATCTGCACAAAGAATACCAAGCTGATACAGCAATTAACATCTGCCGCACACTGTATCAAAGAGCTTCGGCTCGCCTACGTCTGTTCTGACATGCTGAGTATCTTTTAAAGTTTTAGCTTCAAAGACAACTTGGCAGGAATCTGGTACATGTTCAATTATCTAGCCAGCTTATGAAGTAGTTTTTTATTTGGAGGACAGTTGTTATTATTGTCAATCTCCCAAACAACATTCTTCCTGCACAGTGTGTACATGTGACCTTGTATTAACTGTAAAGGTCAACAGATGCCCACTGCTAACAGGAGGTTCCAGTTGTGTAAAGTGCCAAATTTGGCGGAACAGTACGTGGCGCAATCCTCAGCAGTGTTTGGAGCTGTTGATCCTGGGTTCGAACACGAGATTTGTTCATGATGAGTCTCGGTTTGTCTGCACCAAGCTCAGGGGTTTCAACAAAGGGGTAAATGTCTTCTCACCAAGTAAGCAATATTCCCTCAATCAGCAGTCAGTACATCATCAATCAGTACATACTTCCAGTCACAATTTGGCTGGACAACTTTTATAATGTACTGGTTGGCGTAATAGTGATAGAATTGCTTTTACTGATTTATTTTTTTATTTATTTATTTACTGTATTCGACGTAATAAGCGCCCCGCTCTAATAAGCCCCCACAGCGATATTGGCTAATATATTAGCTTGTGAACAATCTCAATCAGCACCCCTTCCGATTGATCAATGTACACAAGACTTATTTATTCACGTATAATACGCACTTGTGTGTTATATGCACCAAATATATTTTCACCAAAATAATATTCTAATAAGAGCCCGGGGCGTTTATTACGTCGAATATGGTATTTATTTATTTCTTTATTTATTACAGAAAAATAAATTCTATCAATAGCCAGCTTGAAATACTCATAAGTCCCGCTAATATGACATGTCCTGTTGTGTGCAAGGCAAGAAATATTGAACGGTTCTCAAAATCTGCACTACCATCATTTTCTGTCCAAGTCAAAGTCGTTGCTATCGAAAAAAAATAAAATTTAAATCCCAAACTATCAAAAGGCACCAGTTTACCACTAGACCTATCTATGAGCCAAGTTTCATGAAGAAATATTTACATTTTTAAGATTTAAAGAGTCCTACCACCATTTTCAGTTTAAGTCAAAGTTGTTGCCATGGAAACTTGAAAAGTTTTTAAAAAATCCCATACTGCCAAAAGACACCAGTTCACCACTATACCCCTCTCTATGTGCCAAGTGTGGTTAACCTATCTT